ATTATGGATAAAATGCAATATATTTATTTTGTTTTCACTTCAGTTTAATTTATTTAATTAAATTTTATTATTTATCAGGCAAAATTAAATGTTTACGAGTTTTCGCTGTTGTGTTAATTTGAAAATTGAGTGGTGCAAGCTGTGTACGCAGAAACTTATGTATCAACGGCTGCATGATATGTTTAAATGTTGTATATTGCATTCCAAATTTCTATTTCAAATATATTTTCTCACTTTACATTACTAAATTTATGATCTATTCTATCCTACTTTTCCTGACACTACTGTTTCTTATTATATCAACCACAATTTTCCTAACAATAAATAACACTTACATGTACACAACCTACATATTACACATTTTTATCGAAATTCATATCGTATATTAGAATTACTCTGATTTCATTCATAATCGTGTTAAGTAGTTCGACAGTTTTTTCACGTTGTTAAATTTCTATTGCTTTTTATTTTAAATTGTTTTGTTAGTTTGAAACAGGTTAAAGATCCAATTCTGCGGTAACATAAGAGATAACATACTGTTGTTATGGTAACGCTGTTTTATCCTTCTTTCTTGATACTAGAAATTGTGAAAATGCTAACTACTTGCTGTATTATCAGGCGTTTTACACATAAAATCATATGTTATAAATGCGCATCACAAAAATTGCAGTTATGATAACATTCTTTCTAGGTTTGTTTATACGTAAGTACGCCTGATCGCATAGCATTTTAACAGTTTTTAGTACCAAGAAAGAAGGATAAGATAGTGTTGCCTTAACAACGCTATGTTATCGCAGAATTGACCCTTAAATATATACATACATATATATATATATATATATATATATATATATATATTACATGTATGTAATCAATTATATCGAAGATGGTCAACCTGAAAAATTTATCAAAATGTAGAAGTTAAGAAATGAATGCTAGAAACATAGCTAAAAAGTGTGATAAGCACAAATTGTGTGTTATTATTTATGTTGTAATAAATCATTATAATTAGTGTTTGCACGTACATGTACATAAATCGGCAACTTGTAACTTGCCTTAATATTACATTTAAAAACATTTGCTCCACACATTTCTAGTGCAATCATAAGGAAAAATTGTATGTAAAAAATTCTTAACTTACTAGTAATTATTAACAACTTTCATAAAGCAAGACTCTATAAAATGATGATTCATTAATTTTTTGAATCAATTTTATTTATCAGACTAATATGTAACGGTTGTTCAACTCCAAACGTTTCACTTATATGATAAAATTTATTAATCCTACTTCACTAAAGATTTGCAATAATTTGAGATCTTAAATAGTTTTTTTTTTTTTTTTTTTAATTACGCTAAATTATCAAGTTTCCGCAAAAATGCGAGAAAACTTTTTATAAATTTCATTCGGCGATCAATACAACTAATTTATGAAAATATGCATTAATTTACCAACACGATTATTGTTAAAATATTCAATTACATCTAACAAACGCTCAATATTAATTATCTATCAAAAATGAATTATTTATAGGAAGTCGAAGATATAAGACTAGTTTCACCTTATTTTATGAATAAAAAATTTCATAAATAAAATTTATATAAAAATTGTGCCAATCAATTCTATTTACAGAATCTAAATATGTAATAATTTATCTCTTACACATACTTACAGAGCACGATAATTTATTTTCAAAAAATTATTTTAATTAATTAAAAATGAAATATTTTTGGTAAATATTACCAAATATTTTTAGTAGCTCTGAGATTTTATATCTTTATGCACTTTTTTAAATAGTTCTATAATGATAAGTGAAATAGTAAATTCACCTTAAAGTATTACGTATTTTCTGAAGACCGATTTAAAAAATATATTTTAAAGGTAATTTAGCTAATATGCGATATCCAACAAAAAATATATTTAACGATATTTAAATTGAATTTTGCAATATTTACTGTTACTATTTAGGCTACATTATCATAGTTTGCACTAGTAAGTTGTGTGGAGCATTAATATCTCAAAATAATTACGAATACATTTTGCTAGAATTTGTATCTAAATATACAAGACCTGTTGAGTTGCTATGCATATGAATACTTACAACTCATTCAGTTATATGATAATTTTAATTAGAAATAATCATTTGCATTGAAAAATTATAAAATTTCTTCCATTCGAATAGCAAAAGCATTCGTATAATTATTTTAATTATCAAACTAGCTGTTTAACCAGCCATTTTAATTCTTTGTACAAATAGCACAATAAAAGTTATATATTTCACTGTTGTGCGAGTTTTTGCAATATAGCTGCAAATGGTATTCGCATTATTTGATACTCATTTGTTGATTTATGTAGATACATTTGATGTGGAATAAATAGGACTCGAACTTTACAGACGGCCACGGCATTAATATGTCATCTAGCTCTAAATCAGTTTTTGATGTGATAAGTTGCGTACATATTTCAGAAATATTCAGAATATCAACCGGACCGAAGGTAGAGAGACATACATGATATTTATGGAAAAAATTCAATGTGTTTGTGACACAACTTAAACCCATATTTTTGTGCGGAGTTCATAACTAAGAAGTTTTAGTATTTGCTTACGCAACTTATTTTTCCTTTGTTCTTCGTTATCTTTGACTTAGAATTTTCGCTGAACTTTTGAAAACCTGACAGCATCATTAAGGATCATTTTGAAATCCAATTTATCATTTATTTGAGTTTGGAAAAAACAAATATTAAGAACCGTTTTAATGAGAAGCATTCTGAAACGAATTTTTTATAGAGAACAAGATAATATTATGAAGATAAGTTAGTATTATTTTAAATATATCGAATTAGATAAATAATATTGGTATGATCAGTATTGATAATATTGCGTACTTCCATACTTGTATATAAAAGTTCGTTATTAATTACATCACAGTTTAAACAATTCAGAAATAATTTTCTAAGTCAAAGTTTTTCCAATATGTTACCTCTAGCTAATGTATAAAGATTATTTAAATCTATTATAAAAGTATTGGCAACAAGAAAGCTAGATTGCATACAATCCGATAAGCTTCAACTTTTCATCAGATTTAGCAACCAAATAGTGTTCAAAATTTGAACAAAAATATAATATTGGGCCATGTAATATAAAAACAATAAAACTGATCAATGCTGCTGAAACATCCAAACATAATGTAGAATGCCAATAAGCAGTTTTAAATTTAAAAGTATTTAATGCGATGTCCACGAACGATCTTTATACAGCGTATGATTAATAAGATGTATATATGAACAGTTGGTAACCGAACATGCTGAGTTTTCCACTATATAATACTACTAAACTGAAATAAACATAATATTTATATGTGTCGTTAAACGGCAGCAAAAAATCTGCTCTGGTTCTAAAATTGTTTCACGTTTTACTAAGCCCAGAGTGGGCAATGGAGCTTCTATTTTATTTATGTAATAAAAAAATAAACTGAACTAATTTGAGCAAATGATAAATAGTATAAAAACTAATTTGACATAATATAATAGTATTTCAATAGTTCAAGTATATTTGGGCAGGTCCACTCTGGTTACCAATACCAATTTGAAAATTATCAATTTGTTCGACACAGTTTATTGGCGTTCAAGTATATTTGGGATGGTCGACTCTGGTTAAAAATTGCATTTTAAAAAACACCACATTTTTTAACATGGTTTAATATATATTAACAGGTATATTTGGGACGGTCGACTATGGTTACCAATAGCATTTTAAAAATACCAGATTTTTAGACATGGCTTAATGACGTTCAGGTATATTTAAGGTGGCCCACAACTCTGGCTACCAATAGTATTTAAAAAAATACCAATTTTTTAGACACGGTTTAATGACGTTCAGATATACTTGGGATGGTCCACACTGGTTATTAATAGCATTTTAAAAATACCAGAGTTTTTGACTCGGTTTAATGGCGTTCAAATTTTTAGACACGGTTCAAAATACCAAATTTTTAGACACGGTTTAATGGCATTCGGGTAAATTTGAGATGGTCTACTCTGGTTATTAATAGCATTTTAAAAAATACCATATTTTTCGACTCAGTTTAATGGCGTGCACGTATATTTGGGATGGTCACCTCTGGTTACCAATACTATTTCAAAAATTACCAATTTGTTCGATACAGTTTAATAGCGTTCGGGTACATTTGTGATGCTCCACTCTGGATACCTATAGCATTTTGAAAAATACCAAATTTTTCGACACGATTTATTGGCGTTCAGGTATATTTGTATTGATCCACTTTGGTTACTAATACCATTTTAGAAAATACCAAACTTTTTGACACGGTTTAATTGTGTTCAGCTATATTTGGGATGGTCGACTCTGGTTACTAATTCCATTTCAAAAAAAATGCAACTTTTTTGACTCGGTTGAACTGCGTTCAGGTATCTTTTGGATCACTCTGGATTCCAATAGCATTCCAAAAAAAAAACAAATTTTGAACACGTCTTGATGGCGTTCTAAGTATATTTGGGATCATGCGCTCTGGTTACCAACTCCTCATATATGATCTCATTTTGTATTATTTTTAAGAAATATGTTATTTACGAAAGAGCAAAACAAATCTCAAAACAGCAAAAATTTTAAATCATATTTAATTATGTGATTATTAGAAGTTATTATAATATTAAAAAAATATTTTGCGAAAAAATGTATGGCATCAATAGCATCACCGAATCCGCAAAAGTTTGAGTGTGTCAGCAGCGCTAAATCGAGTGTTCAAATTCCGGAGTCGTCTTCAAGGCACCGAGATGGCGTCGCGATCTCAATTCGATGAGTTGCAATAAGCATGTTTCTGCAATCGATTGCGTAGTTTAAAGTTCAAGTCCTATTGTTCAGTGATAACAATCACGCTTCCAATAATTGAATATGAATGCTTCTAACAATAGCGTAGGAATAATTGGATGTGATTAGTGCAAACAGTCCGAAACCGATCGCAAACTGTGTCTGTGTTCGCAGGTACCTACTTCAACTGCATAATGTTCATGGTGGCCTCGTCTGTGGTTCTGACCGTGGTCGTACTAAACTATCATCACAGAACCGCGGATATTCATGAAATGCCGCAGTGGGTAAGTCAGATAACTGCATATTATTATTAGTACAATGTACTGCATGAGATATTTAACTGACATATTTTCAACTAAATATAATCTTTACCTAGCATTCTGTTGATTAATTTGGTGACTAATCCCAAAACAAAAAAAACTTATATTTATTAATATCGTATTTTGTGATTCAAAAGTTCAATTTTTTACCCAAATTATTAGTCTGTTAAATCTATGTTAACATAAAACGCAATGAATTTTTTTTTTTTTTTTGTAGAAGCTATTTTAAACTTCTCCGAAGACACGTTTTCTACTATTTCTTATATATCTATACTAATTTGTTATGGGTCCCTTTTTACCCTATAAGCCGGTTAAGCAAGAAAAGTCAGGGGACAACTAAATCTAAAATCTCATTTTCAATTTTCTAGACATTTTACGAAATAATAGCTGTAATTTTTTTACCAATACAAAATACAAATTACATGTAAACATTTTTTATGCAGATCACACTATATATATATATATATATATATATATATATATATATATATATATGGTCTTTCGTCAGAATTATATATTAGCAGAAGTGTAACTATTAATTAAGTTTATGTCTTATAAAATTGCTTTTTTGCTCCGATTTATTTCTCTGTTTACTTTGTTTTGCCTTCAATTTTAAAATCCTATTGTTAAAATATTCTACTTTACTTGTTTTTGAGATAACTATGGCGCTACTACAATAATGAAAATAGCATAAAAAATTATAATAGCTTAAAAAGTATTAGCAAATTCGCGAAAAAATTTCATCTAGCAAGAATTTCTCCACAAACCGGTAATTACTCATAATGAAGCTTTTGAGTAATTCTGTCAAAATTTGTGTTTGATTTGACAATGACAATAACATTTTTTCAAATCATCTAGAAAATATACAATCAAATACAAAAATTGCGATCGAGTTATGAAAAAGTGTGAATGCATAATAAAAAGTCTTTACATACTCAATAGTCTTTGTTTAAGTGTTTGTGGGATATATAATAAAAAATCTTTGTTCTAATTTCTCAACATGAACATAAGAAATAAGAGTCATCAATACTGGGCTATATTATTTTTATTCTTCACTATGGACCAAATTTCATTTTTGTTCTGTGGCTTTATATCATATATCAGGTTGCTCAAAATTTGAGCTTGAGCGCGTTACGTTGCAATTGAAAGGCCGGACACTCAAGGCGCTTCAAACACCACAAAATTTTTAAAATTATGTATGTTAAAGTTTACTTTAATTCAATATTTTCCGTTAAATGTATTCTTTTCATAAATTAAGTAACATAATGGGGCCAATTCTCGGATAAAATAGAATTGTAATGGTAATGCTGTGTTATGGGTTTATCTTCGTATGTTACTACCAAGTAACGAACTGCCAAAAAGCCATGTAATTATTGTGCGATCTGGCGTTTTACACATAAAACCTAACTTCACGTATGTGTTATCAAAAATACGTTAGAAAATTGCACTAATGATAAAATTGATATTTGATATATTTGATTTTGCTGAAGTGACGCGCTATATCAGGTCATATTTCTTTTAATAGTTTTTCTACTAACTCATTATTTTATGTGATAACAGATACAGATTAAATAGAAACAGATTAAATTGTTACAGAACAAACATATTAAATATTTGACATTTTATATATTATTTTTGTTCTATGCTATATCACCTCAATATTTACAAGTATTATACGTGCACCGAAAATAACAGGAATTTGGTTATTGTGGAGTTATTTGGCTCCGCTTCGTACGATTTATTTGTTATTCTATTGCTAAACATGTCTAGAAAGTTTCTGTATATTTAAGCTGCAGCAAATATTTCTTGGCAGCACAAGAATAACGTCTGTTTCATACCTTTGGTAACTTTAGATTTATACACAGTGGCGGCGCTAGATCATTCGTGGGCGTCGGCGAAATTCGTTTGCGAGGCCCCCCTTTTTTGCCAGTTGCAAGTTGACTAGTGGTACATGGCATCGTGCCTAAAGGCAAATTGCTGAAACTTTTCGTGCCGTAATTTAAATTTTTGAAAAGCTTTTAAAAAATTTGAAAAGTGAAAGAAATTGACTTTTTTTAATTTGAAATATTTTGTTGAAAATTTCGAACTTTTTTTCAAAGCAATCACGTTGCGTTAGCTGCTTAGAGACGAAATATCGAAGTGCGTAAACGTCGCGTTGCAGTCTAACAACTCACTATTAATTAAAATCTTTATAAAATATCTGATAATTTGATGTGCATATGCCAAATGGCTTTTGTTGTGCTTTTTTACTGGATTTCCAAAACCGCTAGACCTGCCTTCCTAAAAATGTAATCAGGGTGGCACTTTTTGCCCCGTATATTCGAAACGGCTTATCCTGCCTTTGCCAAAAACTAATCAGCACGTCTTCTTACCTTCAATACATGACAAATGTTTTCTGAATTTTTCAAATTGGTTGATCCATGTTCGCGAAATCGTCGACGAAAATTTGCCAAAATGTTCAGAAATCTTTGAAGATATATAAAATTTTTTGTTTTAGATTTTTTTGCAATTACTATAACTGTATATGAGATTTACTTTTAATCAGATAAATACACCAATTGAAATAGACATTACACAAGTTGAAATAAACAAACTCTTCGGCAAAAATGGTTTGTTCTCCAGCTATTAAAAAGCACTAAAATTAAATAACTATCGCAAAAAAGTTTCCCTTTGCCCAACCATTTGATTAGTAAATTTTATGTTTTTTCGATCATTATGAATAAAAAATGGTTGGAAATCACCGACTTAATAACTAATTAGACAAAATTTTGCAATCTGCAAGTGGTTAATTAGATTTAAAAAATCTATGTTCATACTAATTTGAGTGCACAAATCCGCACATCACATAGTAGGTACACATAGTCTAAAAGCTCGTCCCATTATTCTAAAATTTAATGAGTTTTTGTAATTAATCATTTATCGTAGTTCCATAAAATTTATGTTAGATGAAACTAACAAGTTTTTGAAAAAAGATTTTTACAATAAATTACGAAGAAACTGTGCGGTCGATCTTGACGAAAAACAATTCAGGACGATCGCCAACTGAAAACTTTCGATCCGTTTTTGAATTTTTAAAATTGGTTCAAAAATGTCAAAATGTCGTTTTTTTAAGACGCTTTAATTTTTTGTCGACGACATCAGAGCCGATCAACCGATTTAAAGGATTTAAAAAACATTCGATTTGTGTTGATAAATTATCAAAGGCAGGTTTAGCGGTTTTGGAGATACAAAAAAAGTTTAAAGGGTTATCAATTTTATTTGAAAGAACTGATCATCCCAATAGAATGTTTAAAAAAATATATTGCTTGTGTTGACGGTGTGAAACAATGATTAGTTTCAAATTAACAGATTTTGCTATTATCTCATTGTTATTTCTCACTGATAAATTTTTATTGAACATTGATTACTTTTATTCCTCGAATATTTAATTACTGTTTCGATGATTTACATAGTGCTCCCATAAGAAATACACAAATATAAACAACCAGAGAATTAGCTTGCGCAAAGTTGTTTAGATTTAATAATCTATAGTGTTGACAGACGATATTAGATAATGTCCATAAAAGATAAAAGAGTAAAATGATAGTGCCTGTAAACCACTAATCACCTTTTTTACTCGCACATCCGTATGAAAATTAACTAAATTTTAAATAATTAAAATTTTTCCGGGGCCTCTTGCGAGGCCCCCCCAGGCGCGAGGCCGTCGGCGGCCGCCGACACCGCCGACGCCTCGCGCCGCTACTGTTTATACATGTAACAACAGATCATAAAACCTAGCAGTAAAGCTCAATTGTTCAAAATAAAAAAAAAAAATTCTTAAACAACATATATGCACGTACTAATTCTTTTTGAAAAGGAATTTTATTTATCACGCGTATAGAAGAATTTACATTCAGTTATTTTAATCAAAATTATTTTTAAAATATTTAAATCACATTATGCTTTTCCAATTATTAAATGCGACTTGAATTATGGAATGAAAGTACGTTTAAGACGAAAAAAAATGAATCGAGCTCGATGCACAGAAAATAATATCAAATAAAAACTGAATATAATTACCATTAACATAATAGATGAAAAAGCTAGTGTGTTTAAATATTCTTATTTCTAAGTAAAATCTATAAATTCTCCGAGAATCTAACATGTTTCTTTATATTGTGAAAAATGTTTTAACCGTCTTAGCTGCTATTCTCTCTAATAAATAATTTAGTATTCGGTAAGACGGATTAGCGCTAGAACTAGGATAGTTTTTTGAATATTCTTTTATAGAAAATATATAAAAAAATGCATGTTTAAGTTCTCTTCATCTCATAATTACAATTTCTTTGAAAGACGACGTCAAATTTATTAAGAGGTTAAATCTCATTTAATTAATCCTTAATTTTACTTTGTCCAATGAAAAGTTATTTTGAGAGTAAACCTTCAGTTTAGCAATAAAAATAAAGTCTAATATGAGGTTGCTGGGCCCAAAAATATATATGCAGTGATTCCTTGCTTTCTGTCATAACTTTATAACAAATCCTTTTAAAAATAACTTTTAAATCGTGTGCTTCGATACTTTTCATAAGTTATTTTCCAACCATTAATTTCAATTTCCATATGAAATCATTCATTTATTATTACGTACAACAATCCACTATGTTAATTTGTATAATTTAGTTCATGTAAACTGCAGTTAAATTGTATTATTGTTTATTCTATTGTGTAGGTATAAGCATAAATCGAATAAGTTTTCCTCCTTAATAGAGAGTAATAGCTTTAACGTCTCTTAACGCCGCTTCGGTCTTAATGCGATAAAATATTTTACGCTGTATTAAAGAAATTGCGAATGTTGTTTTCTTGCTTTAGATAAATTTGAGTAGAACTATTAAATAGATAATGAAATCAGATTCAATAATTAAATTTAATAGAATTAAATAAATGCTTTATCGTTTGTAATATCGATATAATTTGGATAAAAATCA